ATGTCTATGAGTAAAAAAGAAGATTTTTAAAGTTTGCACTAATTTTAGTGGTTTTGGCCCACCCCCAGGCCCCAGGGGGGAAGGGACCATGAAATTCACAATTTTTGTTCCCCTTCACCCACAGATGCTATATGCCAAAATTGGTTGAAATTCGTTCAGTGGTTTCAGAGAAGAAGCTGAAAATGTTTAAATGTTAACGAACGACGACGGACGAAAACGGAAAGCAATAGGTCACCTCTGTTTACTCAGGAGACCTAAAAACGCATATAGTTTGAAGTATGTTAAATGTCTACATAAAAAAATATTGCATTAAATTAAGAAAAGGCAAATATGCTCTATAAAATATTCCTGAAAGTGTGTTACATAATATACAATTATGGACTTCAGTGTAGGTCGATATGTGGTTATATTAAGGACTCGTGGCAATTGATATTGACCGAAGACACAGAAAGTGATAGCGACCGAGCCTGCGAGGTCGCTATCATTTTCTGTGTCTGAGGTCAATATCAATTGCCATGAGTCCTTATAAGCACATATTGACCGTTCACTGAAGTCCATAATAGTTATATTATATAATCACTCAAACTGAATGCACCGACACAGTCCTAACACAACGGACTTGGCTGTCATTACGTCACAATGGTTAAATTCACGTTTCTTTTATTATGACGTCACGTTCTACGTAACTTCAATGCAACCGAACGGCGTGTGGTGCGATATCATTTTCCGCGGACGCGCTTTCACGTCGCTATCGCAAAAGGAGGAATGTCATGTGACGTCCTTTCAGCCAATGAAAACTACGAAAATAATTCTCTTATATAATATTTCATCTTAAAAAGAAGTGCGATTAATTATATCTATTCTAATTAAATTCAATATATGAATTTTGTTTTAAGTACATGTATTTTATTCAAGAGAAGATTAAAGTCAATAGAATTAGTAAATACGGAAATCTCCAAGGTCAAAAGGTCAAAATTACTGATCTCAAAAGCAAAAAGGTCTCGCCACAATGAATTGATATTTGAAGTATGAAATAACTAGTATCTACCGTTTGAAAATTAGGGCCAACGTACAAATTTGGATTTTTTGTGTTAAATGGGTGAAACTCCAAGGTCAAATTCAAAAGTTCAAGGCCCATGGGCCTTATTGGTCACCTGAGCATCATGCAACAACTTTACAACGATTAACTTTGGTTCATGTTTTAAACTAGATGCCCTGGCATTTACAATTTTGAAAGAGGCACCATTGCTTATCATAACTATACACTTAGCATATTTAGTTTGGTTACTTATACCCATAGACAGAATAGGGGAACAAAAAATGCATTTCAACTGATTCATTTCAACTAATCAGTTATATTCAGCAATAATCAGTATAGCGCCACTACCACACATGAACCCCTGACCCTTGGTCCATACAGTTCACAATTTTGGAAAAGGCTCCCTTGCTTATCAAAAATATTTTATTAATACAAAGGAGAAGATAAGTAGAACCCCCCCCCCCTTGGAACCCCTGACCCAGGGGCGTTGAAATTCACAATTCAGTAAGATGGCCCTTGCTCATCATAGCTATTTAGTTAGTTCATCTGCTTAATGCCCAGGGGCAGAGAAGAAGATTTTTAAACAATTTCTGTATTTTCTCTATATAACCAATACAGCCCCGCCCTAACAACAGAACCTCTGACCCTGGGTCATAAAATTCACAAAGGTATTCTTTCACATCATAACTATGTACTTAGTTAGTTTACTTAATACCCAGGAACAGAGAAGAAGATTTTTAAAGAAATAATCTATTTTCACTCTATAATCAATACAGCCCCGCCCTAGCTTTTTACCCAGGGGCATAAAATTAACAATTTTGGAAGAAGCATTCTTGCTCATCATAACTATATACTTAGTTAATTCATTGAATACCCTGCAGCAGAGAAGAAGATTTTCAATCAATTTCTTCATTTTCTCTATACATATGTATAATCAGTAGAGCCCCGCCCTAACACCAGAACCCCTGACCCTGGGGCCATAAAATTCACAATTTTGGATGAGGCATTCTTGCTTATCATGACTATATACTTAGTTTGTTGAATACCCAGCAGCAGAGAAGATTTTCAAACAAACAAATTCTGCATTTTCCCTATATAATCAATAGAGCCCCGCCCTAACAGTAGAACCCCTGACCCTGGGCCCATGAAATTCATAATGTTGCAAAAGGCATTGTTCCTTATCGTAAATATGTACTTAGTTAGTTTATTTGATATACAGAAATAAAGAAAAAGATTTTTAAAGAAATAATGCATTTTCACTACTAGTATATAATTAATAGAGCCCCGCCCTAGCATTAGAACCCCTGACCCTGGGGCCATAAAATTCACAATTTTGGTAGAGGACTCAATGGTCATTACATTAGTTTATTTAATACCCAGGAGCAGAGAAGAAGATTTTTAAAGAAATAATGCATTTTCACTATATAATCAATAGAGCCCCACCTTAGCACTAGAACCCCTGGCTTGGGGCCATGAATTTCACAATTTTGGTAGAGGACTCAATGTTCATTACATTCACGCTAACAGTTTGACTGCTTGATATCCAGGAGTAAAGAAGAAGATTTTTAAAGACTGCACTAACTTTAGTGGTTTTGGTCCCACCCCTCAGGCCCCATGGGGGCAGGGACCATGAAATTCACAATTTTTGTTTCCCTTCACCTATAGATGCTTTATGTAAAATTTGGTGGAAATTGGTTGAGGGGTTACAGAGAAGAAGCTGAAAATGTTCAAATGTTAATTGATTGATTGTATACTGTTTAACGTCCCTCTCCAGAAAGTTAACACGTGACGAACGACGCACAAAAACAGAAAGCAATAGGTCACCTGAGTCTTGTCAAAAGGATGAAATATCTTAAGTATGAAAGCCCTTGTCCTAATACATATAAAAAATCATGGTCAAGATTGTATTTTAAAGTAGGTCAAATTCCAAGGTCAAGGTCAAAGTTCATGGTATCTAATCAAGCGTCTTATCAAGAATTACATATGTGAAGCACGAAAGCCCTAACCCTTATCGTTCAAAAGTTATGGCCAAGGTTAAAGATTTTTCCATAAGTACGGAAATCTCCAAGGTCAAGGTCAAATTTGTTAGACTAAGTACTAAATGAAAGGTCTTTATACAAAAAAATACATATATGAAGTATAATAGTCCTGGTATCTACTATTCAAGAGGCATAGCCAAAGTAAAAGTTTGGAATTTTCGTGTAGAAAGTGGGTCAAACTCCAAGATCAAGAGTCATGGCCAAAGTAAAAGTTTCAAATTTCAAATTTGGTGGTACCCAAAGAAAGGTCCTGTCGCAAGGAATAAACATTTGATATATGAAAGTTATAGCCCCACTAAATCAAAAGTTATGGGTAAGGTTAAAGTTTTTGCGGACAAACAGACCGACAGACACGGCAAAAACTATATACCCCCGAAACTTCGTTTACGGGGGCATAAAATTGGATTTAACCCATAAATTCTAATGAGTTAGAAATCATAATTTTAAAATATGGAATATATCATCTGTGTTGGATAATGTTGTGCCAGGAGTTAAATGTCGCACTGTAAAACCATCTGCATATTTTTATTTGTGTCTCATGCGAGTAAAACAAAACATTTGATAAACAAGTAAATTCAGAGGATTTGTGTACCCCGCTTAGGAAAAAAGTAAACCATGCGCATTTCGGGGGAGGGGGGAATCGGATCCCCCTGACTGAATTTGTAGAATTAGTATATGTATGCATGTATATTGAAGCAAATAAAATATGCCAATATGGGATATACAGAGTTGATTGCTTATTCTTTATATGTGTACAGGAGTATTCTTTTTATATGGAATATTTATCACACTGTAATGATGAATTTATGAGTTTGTACAAGCCAGACCTCATAAATTTTTCATTTCACATGCTGAATACTGCATGTATCATTTAGTAAAAAAGTATTTGGGGAAAAAAAGAAAATGGAACGTCCGAAATTAGAAACCAGGGACCTCTCACATGAGAAGCGATAGACATACCACTAGACCACGGAACCGCTTTAAACTGACGTAAATTATATGCAAACATGAAGTCAAATACAAGTATATATTCACATTCGATATTGTCCAAATTTTACAAAATGCATGTTGTCTAATTTAGCCTTTATTAAAGTGTTCTAATAGATGTAATAAGAATATAAAGTCTGCCGAGATCCTATTTTATACGTTATAAATCTCCTCATGCACCTGTGCTAAAAATAGCTATATGTAATACAATACATGTAAATACTAATAAAACAAACGGGACGGGACGGGACACTCTGAGAGGGATGAGAGAGGTCCAAGGGAGTTTTGTTATAAAATTACATTGCAAAAGCTCAAAATCTTCTTGAAATATCGCCCGGAAACGATAGTGTTACACAAAGACAGAATGTATAAATTTACGACCTTGAACTTTGACCATTTGACCTAAAAATCAATAGAGGTCTTCATTAGGCCACAGGGAGTTGTTATGTAAAATATCATTGCAAAAGCTCAAAGAGTCCTCGAGATATCGCGCGGAAACGAAAGTGGTATAACAACAATTTGCGAATTTATGACCTTGACCTTTGACCTTAAAATCAATGAGGTTCTTTTGTAGTCCATAGGCAGTTGCTATGCAAAATTTCATTGCAAAAGCTCAAAGGGTACTCGAGATATCGTGTGGAAACGAAAGCGTTACAGACAGAAAGACGGACGGACGGAGAGACCCATATTAATATCCCTCACATTTCAAGCGGGGGACAATACGGACGGACAGACCCAAAATAATATCCCCCCACTTTTCAAGCGTGGGACAATATTTTTTTGCAAGTACATGTAGGAATTGAAAAAATTCATTCCTTGCATGTCACAATATAGGATTTTGCCAGAAAGCAGACATTGAACATACAAGGAACACTTGTATATTATTATCTCGTTGACTTTTGCTGTCATGGATAATAATGCAGCGAAATACTTACGCTGGATAATATCCTGGAAAATTAGGTGAGGTGATGACATACGGAGAAGAAATTTGGATATTGAAAGTATTGTTATCTTTTGTACAATCCGCTGTAAATTAAAGATGTGAATTTTATTTTTTGTTACCACTATAAATCTTTGTAATTAAAAGTGTATAAATGCTCAATACAATATTACCAAGATCTGTTATGATTGACATTGAAAATAACGGTATGTCTTGATTGAAAAATTAAGATTTTAGTAAACATGAATTATTTTTTTTAATTGATGAAACCACAAGGTCAATAATATCATTACCTACATTTATCTTTATCAATCAATGAAATTTTAACTGAAGGAACTGGCCTTTTTCAGACAAATTGGCACTTTCTGAAAATCAGGCCGTTTAAACATTTAATTACTTACATTTTTCTATCCCAGCAAATATTTCGAGAGAGAATCCTATGTCCTCAGCCTTTTGAGTCGAGTCTGAAGTGAAGGAGATCCTTGCTGTATTTCCTGTGATTACGGCGGGTTTTGTGCAGTCAGAACAGCAATCAATGGATTTGAACGTATCACCTGGTTTCACTGTTAATTTTCAAAATCGAAAAGTAATTATTATTTGAAAGGTGACTGAACAGACAATTTATTATCGTAATCATTATATTATCCTAAATAAAACGAGTAAGTACCGTTGGTTATTCCTAGACTGTCGCCATCCCCACATTTTAAATTTTGCCCAATGACGAGACTTGCAGAAGAATCAGATGCTGTGAATGTCCATGTACATGATAAGACTCTGTTTAAAAAAGTATTATATTAGCTTATATTTCCTGACGATTCCTTGAACCTTTTACAGAGAATTTCATGGACAAGTCTCATTTAGATAAATAAATTTGAAAAGAAAAAAAAAACACAAAACAAAACAAAAACACAAATAAAAGAACAATTTCAGAGGAAACTGAAAATTAATTTGGAAGAGAAACTTTCATTCTTTTAGTGAAAGTAAAACCTTTTTTTACTCAAATTTTAAACATATGAGCGCTAATACTAAGTGCTACTGAAAAGTCATAAGAGAGGTAAGAGACACACGCAGTCCTTTTCATCAGGAAATGTATAATTGGCAAGAAATCCTAGTTTCAATGTAAAAATGTCTTTAAAAAAATTGATATTAATTAAAATAATTTTTAAAGAGTCTCGCACCAAATTAAAGAATAGGTCTTCTTTAATTAATCATTAACATACTTTTTCATAGTCGCAAAAAATTAAGTGTACAATTATGTATATATATTAAAATATAATTTTATATTTAAAAAACTTACGTATTATAAGGTGTTCTCCCATCCCCAAATTGAAAGGTTGTGGTAGTTGAACCAATCTGGATAGAACTGGAGGATGGACACGTAAGAATTTCCACTGCGGTAATAAATAAATATTTACATCCACTAATTATTTTCACCTTTGTTTCTTAAGAAAACCCATTGCGCTAATCTCTGAATGAACTACAGTAGGAATGTCGTCTGTACAGATTTCTTGATCAGTGGCTGTTCCATGAATGAAGCGTATAAAGACGTTCGCATCATTAATACAATGATTAATCTTTTTAATCCTACTTTAAATGATTTATTTAAACAGATACAGTGTATAAATATACACAATAAAATGTCTTTCTTTGTTATTTCTGGAATTAACGATCGCAGCTATTGCAGAAAAAATTTACATAACCCGCGTAAGCGGGTTATGTATTTTTTCTGCAACAGCTGCTTCCGTTAATTCCAGTAAAAACAAAGAAAGCATTTTATTGTTTAACTAAGATGAAATAGAAGGATTTAGCACTAATCTAAATTCTTTTAAACTGTCGGTTATTAATTTGATATGGGAAAGTTTAATGGTACCCAATAATATAAAACTCAAGATATGTTAATGAAAGTGATGATAAAATAATTATACATACACTGATTCCCAGAAATCTCCTTCCATTTTATACAATAGCCTAATAATGTTTTGGAAGATTATTGCAGCCCGGAGGACCGGGCTGCTCTATACATATAAGTTTAAGTGTTGGTGTATGGGATTGGGGTGGGAGTAGTTATTCAGAATTAAAGGTTTTCTAAACATTGAAAAGATTGTTAATCAGAATGTTCTTTTCTTTTATAAATTACGAGATACATAATATATTTACTTCCGTGAAGCGAATCTTTAAAAATTTATTTGTTTTTCATATTTAATATATAATGTTGCTTATCATTTACTATCTAAAAAACGACAGGTCCCCTTTTTTAGAACATCGAATTTTACTTCTCGCATAAAAACGTACTCTGCAGTTTGTATTTTATATTCTAAAACTGACAATTAAATACATATTTAATATAGGTGATGCATGTGTCTAACTTCATTTCATATTTTATGCAGCCAACAATTACTCGAGGAATTGAAGTTTAAAATGGTATCGTTTTTGTTTGATATTTATCCGACTTTAAATTTTCAAAATATTCGTGACTATCTTCATCAATTAGACGCATGCCTTTTCACTCATATCGAAGCGGTTTGATGATCAAGACTCCTGCATTTCCACTGTTTACTTTATATATTTCCTGGGCGACAATTGATGGTTACATCAATGTTTTCTTGTTTATTTAGTAATGTGCTACAGATTTAGGTTTACAGTGTATATAGGAATTTACATTTCAGCATAGGGGTCAAAATTGGAGAGGGGTTAAAAAATAATGGAAGATATTTTATTGATTTTTAATAGTGTAAATGGCACTTCCTAATTAAGGGGATATTACTAAGGTACATTAAAATAACATAAAATTTCCGTAGTGCAAGGCAAAATCGCCGATGAGATCCCCTCTGTCCTTTACATTTATCCAGTTGGCTGAAATAAACACAGACTACAATGCTCTCAAAACAGAATGAGAACTGACATGACAAGTAAACTGACACAAGCATCTTGACACCACAAATCACCAACTAGGACGGAAGTTAAAAAGAACGATAACTCTAACTTTACAAATGTTCTGAATTAAAAAAAAAATCCAGGCTTTGCAATAACTATATTGTGAAATTTGGTTGTTCATGTCATATGTTAAAAGTTAATCTGCATCCATCAGAATCTACTACCTACTGTTATCTTGTTACACATCGAACTTACCGTAACAAATGTAATATGGAGAGAAAATTAGGGATTTATTCCCTCTCGAATTTAATGTTCCGAATAACATTACACGTTATGATTACGCCGGAAAATACCGGGTACTTCCGTCCCAGTTGGTGCACATCAAAAAATTTACCCTTGATGCGGGTGATTTCATCGAAATATTTACAAATCGGGGGTACATAAAAATTGAATGGAAATATGAAAAGGAAGAGGAATGTATAACAAAGAGCAAGAGCCATCTTATGCATAAAATGGCCCTGTACTTATATCAATTAATTAACTATTACCCTCTTTCCCATTTCATATATCAAAATAAAGTAGACACTTGGTGCTTTCATTTTCTATTATAAAATTTCGTTTTGAGAATCTTGATATTGGAAAACAGGTTTGAGAAATTGCAATGTTCTTGAAATTTGCAGAAAACATGCGTTTTTGACTGCCTTTAGCAAAGAATTAAAATATGAGCACAGCCCACGATCCAAAAAGTAAAACATGTTTTTTGATCTTCAGAAATAGAGCTTTCATCATGTATTTGCATATTTTGGATCAGAGGTTGTGCTCTATATGAAATATTGAAAAAATGCTTCAACTGTAGGTCATTTTCAAAGGAATTTACAGAATATGAGAAAAATGACGCATTTTATGACGTCATAATGCATTGACTAGATGGAAAATTACGTCACGATAAATAGATACGTGGTCACCAACAACCCAAGTGATAAATTTTGCAACTGCAACCTAAACTGAGCAGTTTTGATTTTTCAGAAATTCTCAGGGCCAAATAAAGCCCAAAGTGGCTCTACCTCTTTATTAATGTATTTTATTCTGGTTTAGATAGATAATCGAGCGAAGTTTCTGGGAGATGAGGCGGATGACGAGAAAAGAGTTGCAACCCTTCTTTCTTAGTATGTATCAGTCGAAAACCATGTTTTTAAAAACAGCTTATTGACAAAGAGTTACATAATTGATAATGTATTATAGTGCATATAAGAATACAAAAATGGGAAAAGGGTTACTCGACCCCAGATTTAAAAAGAAAAAAAAATGGAAAGGGTGTGTGTGTGTGGGGGGGGGGGGTCCATACCCCAAGTGCCTTTGTCTAAAATAGTACAATTTCAAGGAATATGATTAAAGATTGATGGAAGCTGGATAAATTTTCTTGGTTGGTACTAATGAAATATGTGGACAGTATTCAAGCTTTCATTAGGCCTACAAAATATGAGCAGAGCACAATTGGACCTCTAAAACATCAGAAATGGGATTGGGTGCTAAATGAGCGAACTGACATCCCCTGCCGACCAGTCACATACGCCGTGTGGACCTTGTTATGATCATGAAATCACAAGAAATCCGTCGGCGATTCGGTTTGTAAACAAGAGGTACTGTGAGCAATGAACTCACGAAATGATACCCCCGCCTTCCATATGAATATAATGGCAGTGTCCATGTTTTTTATGGGAAACCCAAAACATGTGTCGGATTAAAAAGTAAACTACATGTAGGAGATGCACAATGGCAATATGTAATAAAGATTCTGTGAGAGTTTCATCAAAGAGCCATAGCTGCCTTACCGAGGAATCGGCCGACTCAAGTATTTAAAATATCACCTGTTTCTATTCATAGATACATGTACCTTTTCAATTCAAACTCAGACTTCATTTATGTAATTATTTGTGGACCACTGTTATATTTTTATAGTTGCAAGTTTGTTACATGACAATAATTTTACTTGTTCAATACTCTTATTCTAGACAAGACTGTTAGAAAATTTTTAAAAATAAAACAAGCTAGCAGCTAACATGACTTTGGGTCATTAAAATAATTTAAGGCTGATTTTTCCCGAGATACTTTCAATGTGTAATGTTGTATTATATATCTCTTACATCATTTATACACGTTTTATAAAATAATAGAAGAGAACAATGCACAGAGAAAAAAAAAATAAAAGCATAGACAAGAAACATGCAGTGTGCGACTCGAACTCACGATCATGATCTCTTCAATCCAGTAATCGTACCTCTGCGCCACAAAATCATGAGAATCAAATGGATAAATTTAAGACAGATTGTTGAATCTTGAAATAATTTTAGAAGAAAAATTTAATACATATTTTTAACTTTTTCAATATGAAGACCACCTTTAACCAAAATTATCTAAATGTAATGATGTACAGTCATATCCAAATCAAATTATTCAGAAGTTGTTTTTCTGGTTAAGGGTGGTATTTTGCTACAGTTTGTAATTCTTTAGGGGGTTCCTCAGTATTTACTATATTCTCCATATAAACTGAACGATTTTTATATCTATCATTTGAGGGAATTATTAATACTTGAATATTATTTTTGTGTGATTTGCTCTAAGGCATGTATAAACTAACATTGTATGACAAAATTTTGGTTAAAAAATGTATTTAAAAAATCACTACTACAGTAGGCGAATGTGATTATCAAATGCGCTATGGCTCTTTCATTCAGTGGTACAAGAGGAGTTGCAGATAAGAGATGGGTACCATAAAGCGTAACAGATGGACGGACGGACACACCGATTACTATAAACCCTCCCGATTTTCAAGCGAGGGGTATATGAAAAATGTCAGTCAACATTTGAATAATTCTTGTGTCACGTGATTTAACAAGAGACCCATGGGCCACATCGCTCATTTGAGCACTGTGGCTAGGAAAAAGCAGAATTGGTTTATATTTAAAAAGCTTAAATCCAAAAGTAGTCCCAAGACCAATCATGGCTTTGCTATTCTTGAGAATATTTTTAAAGAATTTTCCTATACATTTCTATGTAAAAATTTGGTCGGCCATTTTGGCCCCGCCCTACCCCTGGGGGTCATGATTTGAACAAACTTGAATCTACGCTACCTAAGGATGCTTCCATATAAATATGATCAATTATCATAATGGCTTCGCTTTTCTTGAGAAGAATATTTTTAAAGAATTTTCCTATACATTTCTATGTAAAAATTTGGTCGGCCATTTTGGCCCCACCCTACCCCTGGGGGTCATGATTTGAACACACTTGAATCTACACTACCTGAGGAAGCTTCGATATAATTATGATCAATTATGGCTTTGCTATTCTTGAGAAGAAGATTTTTAAAGAATTTTCCTATCTATTTCTATGTAAAACTTTGGTCGGCCATTTTGGCCCCGCCCTACCCCTGGGGATCATGATTTGAACAAACTTGAATCTACACTACCTGAGGATGCTTCCATATAAATATGATCAATTATGGCTATGGTATTCT